TTATTGGGGATGGAAAAAGCCCATGAAAAGAAGTAGTTACTGACCATGAACTGTATTTGATTTTTAAATGTTAATTCATCTATTTAGCTTTATTTGTAAATATCAAGAATAGTCGATCCATCATCTAGCTGAACCCTTTAGGATTGCTGTAGTTAAGGTTTGTCAGCATTTTATTATAAACTCCATTCTTCAGATTTATAAAAACTTGCTTCAAGCTGAAACTTGGCATGTGAAATATCAACCCCACAGTAAATTTTCTTGGTCAAATTTGGCTTAAATTTAATTTGTAATTTTACAGTGTTGAGGGCAAACAAAATAGAGATTTGTCATCTCTGACCTTTCCTCTGTACCTATTACTCAAAAATAGTATTTTTTTTAAAATCAACTCTTCAACACTATCCACTGGGATATTTACTTTAAATGGTTGGTATACTCAGATATAAGAAGGGGGTACTGAATGTGTAGTTACGGCTGTCCATGAGGGGTTTTACTTATTTTTTTGCAACAGCATTGCATTGCTGACTCATGTTGATGTGGTGATCCACTACAACTCCCAGATCCTTCTCAGCAGTGCTGCTGCCAAGCCAGTTATTCCCCATTCTGTATGTGTGCATTTGGCTTTTCTTCCCTAAGTGTAGCACCTTACCTTTGTTTTTGTTGAATTTCATTTTGTGGTCTATAGCTCAGTTCTCCAATTTATCAAGATCCCTCTGAATTTTATCTCTATCCTCCAAAGTGTTTGCAGTCCCCCCTAGCTTTGTGTCATTTGCAAATTTGATCAGTATGCTCTCTTTCTACATCCGAGACATTAACCAACACCATACCCAGGACAGATCCCTGTGGAACCCCAATTCCTTCCAATCTGATATCATTCCATTAAGAGTTACTCTTTGTGGTTGTTTAACCAATTATGTGTCCACTTAATGGTAATTCTACCAACCCCACATTTCTCCAGCTTACTTATCAGAATGTCATGAGATTGTGTCAAAAGCCTTGTTGAAGTCCAGGTATATTATGTCCACCTTATTCTCCCCATCCACTAAACCAGTTACCCTGTCAAAGAAAGAAATCTGCTCTCCTGCTGGATCATAGTATGAAAGGAGCAACAGCAATGGCAGAAGAGGTGAGGGGCCCAGTGCTTGTGTTAGGTTCCCCCAGCCCCTGCTCCCCTCTTGCCACAAGAGAGCCAGCTCCCTCAAACCTAGGCTTTTCCACAGCTGTTCAACTCCCTCATAGATACCCTGCCACAGACACTGTGCCCCCTAAGAAAGCTCTTCAGCCTCCAGCTTAACCCCAACCTCCTTAAATAGTACCCTCCCAAGTACTTGTAGATACCCCATTCAGCTGAAGCTTCCCATCCTGCTATTCAGTCACCTCTCAACAGTTTGACTCTCTTCACCACCCCTTTCATCTACTCAGCACCCCAGGCATTCCAGCTAGCGTTGTCTAGCACCTATCCATCCATCCATCTAGCACCTATCCTCCTGAATTCCTGACCCTCATTTGTACCGTAGCAGCCTACTAGACTCCTTCCTATCCCAGCCTCAGCTGCCAAGTTTTGTGCAGTTCCAGGCCCTATCCCCATCACTACTTGGGGCGAGGTGTGTTGACCAAAAATTGAAGCTTATGGGTATGTGGAAATGCATTACAAATATGCACATTATTTAATTACATAATTTGTATGAAACACCACACATGGAGCTCTACAAAACCTGGCAGCTATGTATGAATATGCATATTTTATTAAATACACATTTCCATTGATACTGTAAGCCATAATGCCTCCTGTAGGTTTGATCATGTTACTATGCTACAGAATTAAGGACTCTTAATGGTAATTCTGCCAACCCCACATTTCTCCAGCTTACTTATCAGAATGTCACAATATGTCTGACAACTTGTGGATTAAGTAGTAGATACCCTTTTGCAGAGTTTTTGTTGCCTTTTTTTTTCTTCTGACTTCCATGATCTTGTGTGACTTACTGATAGGAATAGAGATTGCAAAATTGACTAATTGCTGATTCAAGGGGATCTGTGTGGACATACCGTTGCATCCACACAAAGTCCCATTGAGATCAGTCCCTTTTCTGGACCAGTGCCTATTTAAGCAATGACCCATAAATTTGGGCTAGGGGTTTTTACTGTCTCATTTGGATAACTGCGTAGTTTGAATGAGTGCGTTATAAATTATCTCAGTGACAGATACTGACCCTCTACAGCAGTAGTGTCCAAACTTTTTACCTCCTGCCCCCCATTACTCCTGTCTGCAGCCACCTACCCCCACCCCAGAGCCGGAGCCAGGGCCAGGAGACAGGTCATACCTCTGGGAGGGGAGGACGCAGACAGGGGTAAGAGGCGGTGGGAGGCCAGAGGCCGGCGCCCCGAGTGCGAGGTTGGCAGCCCTGACCAGAAGTGGATCCTGGGGAGTGGGATTGGCAGCTGGGGCAGGGTGGCGCTCTCTCTCTGCCCCTGTGGGGGCTGGCCCAGGCTCCAGCCACGCTCCCCCAAATGTTCCTCTGCATCCTCCTAGCGGAGCGTGCCCCATAGATTGGTAACCTCTGCTCTGAAGTTTAGCTAAACCAAAATGTTACATTTTGAAACACCCTAAATTATAATAGTCAGTCCAAAGGGAAAATCAGAGTTCAGACTCTTCATTTAAACTCACGTAACATATCTAATGCAGAATGGGTGCACCTAATTCATATCACAGGCCAATAAAGCCAAATATGCCACAACATGATGTGGATTTCTGGGCTTTAAAAGCATGCCCTCTTATGATGGACCTCTTGTCTTCAGCTACTAATGCACAGGCTGACACTGTTTACTGATAGCATCATGAGTCTCCTTCATCTTAAATGTAACTTGTTATGCAAACTTTTAAAGTCATTTTGGAAGGACAATTTTTATGCAATACGTTCTTTCACACTGAGGAATAGTTCAGTGGAAGGCTAACTCAAAATACTAAAGAAATGGTTCTAAACTCTTGGGTGTGCTAGTTTATTAGTAGAGTCATTCTGTGATCTGACCTACAGGCAAAACGTTTTAAGTAGGTGTAACAGTACTGTAACGGCTAGTGCCAGTGACTTTTTTTTCATGTCATGCCACAAGATGAGTGTGGGGAAAAAATTGGAAATTTACTGGAAAATCATTAAGAAAATGTGAGTGACTTTAACTTCAAGAAGAGGTGACAAATGAGATTTGAACCATTTTGAGGTTAATTTAGATTCTTGGGTGCGGGAAGATCATGGAAGTATTAAAAAAGAAAAAGCACATCTGTTAAGGTAAAGACTTCAGCACCCTGTATTTTCCCCATGGCACTGGTGAGTGCCAAGAATTAAGATGAATAATGGTTCCTTCTCGAGACAAGGGCATAATGGAGGCACGGCAAGAAGAGCCATGCCTTCCTCCTGCAAGACCTTGCAAAGTGTACAGCAGGGAATGTAAGATTGAAACTCTCCAACGTAAGTGTGACAAGAAGCTACTTATTGGCATAAATAAGGTTGAGCTTTAGGCTAAACTAAGCTTCTCTACAATGAGCTGAAGCAATTTTTCTGCTCCTGGCATATCCACTCTTTTACTTTCAAGAGTACAGGCTAAAACAGAGGTGAGATATGGGTTGAGGATAGACACTTTTGAGGAAGTACAGGATCAGATTCTCTGTTGAGGCAGAGATTTGCTTGATGTAGCAGAGATTTGGGGCACCCAGGGAGGTGGTTATGGCTTCCTGATTCTAAAATGGATCCAGCATAGGATTAGAGCAGAGTGAGATCTACTGTAATCTGTGGTTTCAGAGTAGCAGCCATGTTAGTCTGTATCTGCAAAAAGAAAAGGAGTACTTGTGGCACCTTAGAGACTAACAAGAGAGCTACAGCTCACGAAAGCTTATGCTCAAATAAATTTGTTAGTCTCTAAGGTGCCACAAGTACTCCTTTTGTTTTTACTGTAATCTGTGCCATTTGGTGCATGGTTCCTGCTGAGGATAGCTATCTTCCAACCCTGGATGCTTCCCCTCATCGGTGGGTGCTATGGGCGAGAGTGGCATAAGAGTGAGATACACATGTTGTGGGCTCTCCCATGTTGGGAGAATCTTCAGCAGGGGAGATCAGGCCAGATTCCATCAGTGTGTCCCAGAGTGGATGGGGCTGAGGAAAACGTTAGCAAATATATGAGGCATATAGGTATACTTTTCCCTTTTTATCTTGGCAACTGTTCCTAGCTAGGAGTAACTTGGTGCTCTCACAGCTGCCCCATATAAATGCAGGATCAGGTTACCATTGGACTTCTGCTCATTCCTTTTTACTGATACTCTGTACCTAATATGTGCTAGGTTAAGTTTGTAGTGGTTGGTTATATGGATTGTGTTTCTCCCATCTGCATGTGAGACTTTATTAATATTTAGCAGCAGGAAAGGCTTTGTGCTAATTTATTTGGGGGTAGTTAAGGAAGGAGGAGAGATGATGGATCTCTTTATTTAAAATAAAATATATAAATGCAGACTGAAAAAGCAAAAGTCCGCTTCAATTTATCTTGAAAAATATGGGATCGGATCAGAACATGATTCAGATGAATGTCAATTTAAATTAGAACTTTCAGGCTAATGCTAGTAATGTGATCAGATGGCATAAGAAAAAAAGAGGGGAATAAAAGGTTCAAAACAGATGTCTGGCGGCAATTTTTCACACAAACAATCAAAAATGGGTGGAATGGCCTCCCAGGCATTGTTAAGCTATGCAAGCTTAAATCCTAAGTCATTCAGGAAAATTACATAGCGTCCTGAGGCATACAAGGCAAAATGAGCCTTAAAACTTGCTTATGCACATATGTTGGGAATATTGATTCAAAAAGCTAAATTAATTATTGGGCTGTGCATGATTTACATTGAGAGTCACCATTCTATACCAATAGGCTGAATACCCCTTTGTTTTAGTGAATAATCAGGAGGAACTTTTGAAGGTATCTTGTTAAAATCTTGCCTTTTCTATTTATCTTTTCATTTACAGGTTGTTGCTGAAATTGTTACCCTGGGGTTGGCTGACTTCTTGCTCATGTACTTCTGTCCCACCATGCAATGGAATAGTGACACAGTGTATCACAGCTGCTCAGCACTGGAGAATGGAATCTTTCTATGATGAAAAGGTAGTTATCGCTCTCTCTCTTTTTTTTTTAATGGAACAGATCTATATGGAATATTAGTTTTATAACTTTCAGATCATGTCCTGAAAAATCTAAATATTTTTGAGTTGTAGTAGCAAGAACCTGTTCTTAACTGGTAGGACTGTAACTATACCTGTGAACGCTGCTTTGCATAATCCAATTCTTATGTAGGGGGTAAAGGAAGTGACATAATGTGATTGTTGCAAGGAGTAGGACAAGTTTAAATTGCTGTGTCAATTAAACTTGGAACTTCAGAGTCTTTCAGGTTTATGGTTTTGCTCCATATGTCTGATGATTAGGAGAGACCTGCCGCAGAGGACAAATAGCTAATTTACCATTGTGCATTTGAGTTGTCTTAACCCCAGAATTGATCACATAGCTATGCAATTCATCACATACGTATGCCTGCATCACTTGCCCATTAACCATCTTCCAGAGACTTATTCTAACATTAGAAATCCTCAGCTGCTTTAAAAAGCTGCCATTTAAATAAAAAATAAATTGCCACATAATTGTTTCCCTCTTCTTTCCCCCATCATGTGGAATTTATACCCCAAATTGCCCATACCCATGGCCCAGTGGGCAAGATTAATCTCTGGCCCAGTGACAGTTCTTCATACTTAAAAATATCATGACTTTAAAGTCCATTATCTTATCACCCTGTAGGGCTAGAGATGTGAAGTTGGGGCATGGGTTTTTTAATGGGACCCAATTTCTGCTCAGGATAGCAGATCTTAAAGTCCATGATATTTTTATGTGGAGAAACTATTCAAGTCATTATTAGGTTTGTTCTGTATTTGTCAATTTGCATTTTTCCCCCCCACTGAGCCTGGCAAAGTTGCACTCATGGTAGCTTAGGTACCTGTTCTTTATAGGCAGCAGGCTACAAGAAATATACCCAATAATAAAAATTAAACCAATATGCGACTTGATGCAGGAATTATTGGATAAAATTTTGTAGCCTTTATGATGCGGATTGTCAGGCAAGATGATTGTTATGGCTTATAATTAGGCTTGGCAGGATTTGCTTTAAATCAATAGATGTCAGTCATTGCTGATGTCAGCTAACACACTGAAATGGGTGGGAAAAAATATCCATTGGTGTGCGTGCAGCATCCCCCAGCAACTTGTGCTTGCAGGGATTGGGTCTCACTGTCTCTGCAGTGGTGTGGGGAGGCCTTTGCAGCACTGCTGTCATGGGAGTGGGAGAGTGGGGTTGTGACAGTGGAACAACAGCCGGCTCCCTGCCCTGCTGCAGGGCCGGAGAGACTGGATCCCTAGAGGCGCCAGGTGCAGGGCAAGCTGCGGCACTGGTGGGGCACAGCAGAGATCCACAACTGGGGTCACAAGGAGGATGACGAGCCTGCAGATATGCGGGAGGCCACCCCACTGCTGAGTGTCTCCATCACCAGCCATGCAGGAGGCTCTCTGCAGCTCTGCGATCACAGCCCCATTCACTCACCAGTCTGGAGTGGGGGAGCCATCCTGGGGCAGGAACTGTTTCGCAGTTAGGTGTCTTCCCTCATGGCTGGGGGCTGCTCCTTCTCCTCCCACCCCTGCTCAGGGTCTCTGCTCAATCAGACCAGGATCGCAACTTGCCCTGTACCTTGTGTCTGGGTGTCTGGGGCCCCTTGGCCAAGCAGAGAGCCCCCTGCAGCCCCACTGTCGGCACTGCCTTAACTCCAACCCAACCCTTCACCTAATTTCCATAACTGTAAAAATAAATACAGTTAAAATTATAAAAATAAAAATGGATGTTAATAGTCAAAATAAAATAAAATAAAATGGAATTCTGCCAAGTCTATCTATAATCTTCTGGTTTATAATCTATGATCATTTGAAAAAAAACCCTCTCAAACATTCCAATAATTGTGTTTCTGTAAAATATTTTGCATGTGCAGAATATATGATGATATGTAGGTATCACTGGCTTGTGTTTGTGATTATAAGCCTATTCTTCAGCTGTTCCACATTCACAACCGCTAAACCTTTATTGCCCCTCACACATATAGAAAAATATGTACAAGTGTGTAGCACATACCTACTGTTCAAATCTAGATTGTTGCATTAAAACAGCCTATTTTTCAGTAAAAATAGGCATTTGTACCAGAAAGAAGAATTTATCCTAACCTTCATAAAACACATGTACCAAATATTCCTGCAGATACTCTCAAACTTAGACCTTTTAATGCTTTTTGTACTCCATCTTAATTTATTTTATTTTAGAAATGAACAACGAAAACCTAGTAATATTGTAATGCTGATTGCATGGGAGCAACTGACAATGAAATGAAGACCGACTGTTCATTTATTGTCATGAGAACAGGAGGGAGTGGTGATCTTTTTGATTGCTCTATTGTATAAAAATAATTGGCTTATTATCATAATCATATTCTTTTTCACGATATCAAGGTCAAGTGCAATAGTAGTAATAGTATGGGGACATATCAGTTTGCAGATGCTAGTAGGTATTAATTGAGGGAAATATGAGCTTCTATTACTTTTTATGGTGCTGATAAACATTACTGTTGAAAAGAGACAGGTGAATATCAAACCCCGAGGACCTTTACAGTCACTGAAATTTCTTGCCATCTGTTTTTAAAACTCTAAATTCAGCCGAAGACTAGGAAGAGGCGAATGTACTAATCAGTATTGTTCTTGTTCGCACCAAACACGGAGAGTTTTATTTTCTGAGTTGCTTCTTCAAAAATATGTTGTTCTCAAGATAATTACAGTATGGGGTAAATTTTCAGAAAGTTCTCTTGGGTTTTAACTTCTGACTCCTATTGGGAAGTATGCAGCCCAAATCCCACATGACTTGCAAGTGTATTCCTGTGCCATGATGTAAAGAAACTGATCTTGACTTCTTAAGTATATTTCATTTTTGAATCACTGAAATCTTAATTTTTTGAGTACATTTTCCTTGGGCATCTCTAGTCTAGCCTCCTGCGTAATACAGGAACAGCACATTTTATCTTTTAAAATATTTTCCAGTAAAATTATGAAGTTATAAAATGTGCTTGAATACTATGGTGCTGGGTGCTACAGAAAACCAGAGATAAGGTTCACCGATGTTCAGTGATCCGGAGGAGCTCAGACCAGTCCATATTATCTACCCAAATCATAAATAGAGACATGGAGAAGAGCATACGCCAGTCACAGTTTACACAACTGCAGGCAAAGTGACAGTCTGTGAAAGATTAAATTACCCAGTGCCCAAATAATTCTTTTTTTAAGATTTACAAAACAGAGCTGTGGCTGTGGCATCTAAAAAAGAAACTCTTCCCTGGGTACTCCGGTGACTTACACTGAAAGATTGCATTCTTTTGCCATGTCTCAGTTGTTGTGACTGATGTGACAGTTGTTGTGACTGTTGTGACTGTATGTTGACAAAATATGCATTTTTAAACTAAGGCGCTATATGAGTGGCATGAAGTAGTATCATCTCATCACAGAAAAAGTGAGACAATTTTTGGTGCAATCATATTGATTCCAAAAGTGCATCTGGTGAACATGTCCAGTGTTTGTTTTCATAGTCCATAATGCTTCACCCTGGTATGGATCTTTTCACTGTTGATTCATTATATAGTAAAGCATTGTGTAGCATTGTAAATAGGAGTGGTGATGCAACAGATTTGTTTTGAATATACAATCAGATGATGATAACTTGTTTCTGAAGTGCTTTTCTCTGATCCTCTGGTTGGATGTTGCCAATTGAAGGAAGTAAGTGGTTCCCGGAATTGTCTAAATAGTAAATGAATGCTTTTAAATGACTGAAATAGTTATGTGGGGGCTCTTAAATTGACTACTAAGCACTGAAACACAGGCAACATGTTATTTTAAACTAGATTAAATATTTGAACTGGCAAGACAAAAGCAGTTGTGCTCTAATCTGTAATGAGCTTCCCATGGCATAGCTATGAGCAGTGGCAATGGAGCTGCTTCAGATTCAGGAAGACTACATTGTATTGAATCACACTGAGAAGATTTGCAACAGGGCCTAAAAACTTTATTTTTTAGTGAAAATTTCAATTCTGCGTAAGACTTACTGGTCTAACTGAGATCAGAATATGGCACAACTATTTAAAGACCTGGAGGGAGAAAAAGGGTGAGTGGCGCTGCAATAAAACAGTGTATTTTTAAAATGGAAAGCGATAATGTTATTGAACATGCAATTTATTACATACATTTAAGCATGAAAGCTGTTAGCCTCTCATCTTAGCTGTTAAAATATGTCTGTTGCTTTGAAGTGAAAGGAAGAGCTTTAGTCAGAACATAAAGAAATAACCTGTAGGGGAAAATTTATCCTTAAGAACAGAAGATCTTTGTTTTTGTTTGTTTGTTTGTTTTGTTGGGGATGGGGACGGGTTTGGATCTCAGTCACGGGAAAGGTTTAGATATAGATCCAACAAACAGATCATATTAGAAAAGTCAGATAGAGGAGCAAAGGAGTCAATTAAATGGTAAAAATTCCATTATCCATGACTTGTTTAAACAACCTGATTGTTTCAAACAGCAGTAATTTACAGATGCTGTTCTAATGAGAACTGCAAAAAAATATTTTCTGTTGTGCATATAGCTGTGAGCCATGCAATCATTTTAATGTGAATTTTCCATCTGTATCTGAGATAAATATTTAAAACTCTTCAAAACAGATTGCTAAAAGGATCCTATTTTTTTGCTGCTAATTCATAGACTTTAAGGCCAGAAGGGACCAGCGTGATCATCCTGTCTGACCTCTTGCACATTGCAAGCCATAGAACCTCACCCACACACCCACTCAAGTAGTAGGCACATAACCTCTGGCTGAGTTATTGAAGTCCTCAAATCTTGATTTAATGACTTCAAATTAGAGAGAATCTACTGTTTTCTCTAGTTCAAGCCAGCAAGCGACCTGGGTCCCTACGGCAGAGGAAGGTAAAACCCCAGTAGGGTCTGTACCAGTCTTACTTCGGGGAAAATTCCATCCTGGCCCCAGATAT